ATGTTGTGGCATTATGTGAAGCTAAATTGTGCATTAGGTGAATTTGAAATGTGCATTAGATGAAACTAAAATATGCAGAACAAAAGGTACGATGTGATGTTATTTTTGTACGTCTTATTCTGCACATTTCAGTTTCACCTAATACACATGTGAGTTTAAATTTTTATTCTGAACATTTAAATATCATCTATTGCACATTGCGGTTTCACCAAATGCACAATTTAGTTCCACATAATTCTATTGATAGTTTTCCATCTTTCGGACCCTATATCGATACATTTCATCATTCAGGCCCCAGATTGATAATTCATCTATCTTTCGGGTCCTGAATTGATAAAAATCCTTTAATTTTTCATCAACCGCACGCTGAAACCATATATTAATATGAATGACCAAGAGTAGTTTATATATTTATGATCCTTAATCTTGGGGTATATATATCATTATGTCTTATGGAGCATAAAAAGAATTTCCTAAATAAGATCGTCTAAAATAAGATAAAACTGCAAAAATAGGACTGTTATGTTTTATAGATAAAAATATGACAAAACTACCCTAAATGATGAAATTAAAAGTTTTCCGGGTGTACGTTTCCAGGCATGTGTGCTTCATTCCGAGGCATCAACAGTTCAGAGTCGCATCCAAAAATTACCACTGGCGCCTCCGCCACCCTCTAGCAAGTCTGCCGCCACCGCCACCCTTTGGCGAGGTCACCGCCGTCATTCTCCGACAAGGCTCTACCCTCCGGCGAAAATGACATCTTAATAAGAAAAATGACATAATAATGATTTTTTTTTGTATTTAAAACATGGCATTTTCCAAATGTGAATTATGATAGTCATATTAAATTTAAAAATTTAAAATATGAGAAAAAAGAAAGAAGAAAAATCAAAAATAAAATGCCATTTCATTAAGCAAGTAGCATAAAAATGACATAATTTGTCATATGAGTCAAAAACATGACATTCCATATATTGTAATTACAAAGTAATCTTTTCATTTTGATAGATGCAATAATATAATAATAATGTCTTAAAAGTGACATTTTTTCAATTCAGTGTTCAAATAATAATCATTTTACAAATTTGAAAATATTATAAATAAATAGTTTAATAAAAATTATGGGTACTACTCGTTGAGTCATTGTTGGAACCTTGTTTTAATTTCTCATCCAAAAATTTCTTGTCTAAAATTATTTGTTTAGAATCTCAAAATTTAGAAAGTATTTTAAGAATAAAATAAAATAAGAACAAAAGGACCAACTAGAATTGTATAGGAGAGAAGAGAAGAGAGTCATAGGGTACGTTTGGCACAACTAGCTGAAAAAATACTTTTGTGAGCTTTTTAATAACGGTTAGTTTTTAGTGATGAAAAAGATCTTAAAGAGAAAAGGTGGTAGCTGTTTGGTAAAAAGCTGATTGTTTGATTTAGTTTGGTTTGTTATACAAGCTGTTAGGACTAATTTATACTAAAAGTCACAGGCTTTTTTTCAGATGCTACTCCCTGTAGCATCTCAAAAAAGATTTTTTAATTTTTGAAAAGCTCTTAAAAATTATAATGCCAAACATATAAGTAGAAGCTTTTAAAGACTTTTTGAACAGTACAAAAGATAGAAGATAGAGATTTATGCTTGCCAAACATAGCCATAATCGAAGAGAAGAGAAAGGCGATGGAGCAAAACTCACGCTATATATGTTTGGCGGCGGCTTTGGAAGATCGAAAAATTGCAAATGATTTCTGCGCATTTGAGGTTTCTTCATCGCAGATGGCCTCTGCGCATATGGTGTGCTGGAGTCGATTAAATGTTTCGGATTTAATTAAATGCAGGAAAAAAATGTAATGAGTAGTCCTATATATTTATATAATAATAAACTTAAATCCTATTTATGAATTTAACTATCCCTCGGTTCTGAAAGATCTTTACACTTTCCATTTTTAGCAGTACCAAAAAGATCTTTACACTTCCTTATTTGCCTTATTTGGCAAATAAATCTACACAAAACAGTGCCAAACAGTGCTAAACAGTGCCAAACAGTGTTTATTTCCTTAAAAACTGTGAAGTCAAAGTGTCAAGATCTTTTGGAACCGGAGGGAGTATGTTTTAGTTCTGTTTAGAACAATTTCTTCAGGGTATATTATTGACAGATTTAATAATGCAATCATTCTTCTAGTAATATAATTCGTAATATATATTCATTGTAGAATAACATACTAGCCCAACATATAATTTCTAAGCATGTTTTAGAGGAAGGTCCCTGGATTTATGATCAAAATCTCATTATATTATGTATAAGCTTGGGGAAGGGGACCTACCTATGGTTGTGCCTCTAAATAGAGCTGAGTTTTGGATACAAGTTCATGTCATACCGGTGGGCTACTTTACTATGGAAAACGCTATGAAATTTGGGATTTTTTGGGAAGATTTATTAAGGTTGATGAGCATACTTTTTCAATTAAATGGAACCCGTTCATGAGAATCAGCGTTTGTTTGGATCTAAAGTAGGCCTCTGAAAAGGATATGTTTCTGCAAAAAAAAAGATGAATTTCCATGTTACTTTTCGTTACGAGAAACTGCCCAGCTCCTGTTTCTTGTGTGACATTATTGGGGTAATGTTACCCCTTTATTGTTCAAATTACCCCATTTTATAAAGTAAAAAACAAAATAGAAAATTTAAATTAAAAAAAGAAAATTAATCTACGATCTAAAGAGTGGAAAATTTTAAAAAGTAACAAAAAAGAATATGAAAATTAAAATATCTAACATGTAAAAAACTGCAAAAGTTGGAGAACAATAAAAGTATCAATTATGTAATTAAAAAATGTAAAAGTTACAAGAAATTAAAATAAGAATTTTGTAATAATTTGTAAAAAAATATCAATACTATTAATTATTATTTATACTTTCAACTTATTGTTATTTATGTAGCATATTATTTCTTTGTGTTTTTTTTGTTGGTAATTTTTTATATTGTTTCAAATTTATCATTTTAGGCGTTTTATATATAGTTTTTTTTGCAATCACACACACACACACACATATATATTATTCCTGGGAGTCCGTTCTTACCGGAACCACTCCATATATATATACATATATATATGTGTGTGTGTGTGTGTTGGGTGTGTTTCGAAAAAAAGAAGAAATATTTATTAAATAAAATTAATTAATAAATAAAATAGCCAAAGAAAAAAAAAGATGGAACAAATTTTAGCCAGAGCTCGTGCTACGCACGATGTCGTTAAAACATATTCGTCGCCTCCCACGGTGCTAGGAGCATTGCAACGACCGTTTCCCAGAATACGGTGGCTAACGAACTAACGTTTGATCGAGCACATAAACGAAAGTTCCGGCGAACGGAACAAGCTAGAACACTCAGGAAATTTTTGGAGTAGCTGGAAGTGTTTGTAGAGATAAAACCTACGTGTGGATTGCTTGTGAACGTGTGTTTGTTGCAAAGCAGATGCCAGCTATATATAAGAGGATTTGTTGTGTGTTAAATGGAGTGTTAATGGACCTGAACGTTGGACATCAATGACCAGTCCGTTGGGCATTGAATCGACCATAAACTGTCCATTTAACGCAGCATTAAAAGATAAGAACGTTGAACATTTATTGTTGTAAAGGACCAGAATACGTCGAGGACTTCTGCTGCAAACATCAGAGTTGGAGCACTTCTGATGCGACTAGAAGACCCCCACCAGAACAGAAGAGCTGTAGCACTTCTGGTTTCGAGCAGTTCTGTCCGAGGCACCAGAACACCACAAAGTTTTTTTGGTTTCGAGCAGTTCTGTCCGAGCACTTCTGATCCTAGGAAAAATAAAACGTTACGAGAAGAACCAAAAATTAAATCATATCTTTGAATGATAGATTTTCGGACAGCATTCGTGTCCGCAGGTCACCCGCGCACACGAGTCGCAGTTTTTCTTCTCTGTTTTCGGGATTTGATCGGCACCCCCCCTCCCTGCGCGCGAAGAGAGTCTTTCCCCGTAGAAATCTTAACTCCTTTAAGGTGGGTTCTCTTTATAAAGGGGTGAAAATCCCTTGGGTTTTTCGGTGTGGGATAAATCCCACTAGAAAACTCATCCTTTTCCGAGTTCTTCCATTTTAACGAGTGAACTTCGAGAATCAATTTCTCATTCACCCGTTATCCGTTTTGAGTGTACCATATATCGAATTGTAGCCCTTAATAAGGACAATCCGAAACTACTTTGACCCGACCCAAATCGGAAGTGGACCCCACTCAAAAAAATTGCCTCAAAATGACCATTTAATGCAATTTATTAACACATTTTCCAACAATCCCAGCATTTCCCCATAGGAATCGTAACTCCTTCAAGGTGGGTTCCCTTTATAAAGGGGTGAAAATCCCTTGGGTTTTTCGGTGTGGGATAAATATGTTCTTATCATATTCTTATTTAAACCAATATATATATATATATATATATATATATATATATATATATATATATATATATATATATATATATCATGTTCTTATTTAAACCAAAACATATATATATAAAATGTCATTTGCTAAATATAGATATTAATTGTATTGATTAATGCAACAACAAAAATTGGTCAAACCACATAATTCTGTGTTGGTTGATAAATCATTTACCAAATATACTCTAAATCATTCTAAATTGAGTCCCTAAATCACTCTAAATTGAGTGCTCTTTAAACTTGGTCAATTTTCCATTAAAGCATCTCTATTCATGATCTCTAATAATCAATTTTTTATATGATTCTTACCATTTAAATATTGTTATGTAATTAATTATAAAATAATATCAAATTTCGTTTATGTCTCTCAATCATCATTTTCAAATAATCTGTTTTTTCTCTGTCCCGCATTTATCTCTATTACATATACTTTTCAAATAATCTTAAAATAATCCGAATTCATATTTTGATCCCAGATTATTGTAGCAAATAATCCTATTAAATAATCTATGTCACTCATTGATAATTCTCTAAAAAAACTATCATGTCACCAATTTAATCTTGTAATAATCCTCTCGATGAGGATGCCCTTAGTTCTCCTAGATCATTAGGGACAAACTAATTGAACATGTGGCCCCACATGGCTAATTAAGGAACTTCAGCTTTGACTAATCCACGAATTAAAGGAGAATTACCCCTGTAGCCATCGTCACCATCATCACTTCACCATTAATTTCCGGTTTCCACATCCTCTTTTCTTCAATTCCGTCTTCTTTGTTCTCCATTATATTTCATGGAGGCTCTGTTCCAAGAACCCACAATGGAGGCTCTGTTCCAAGATCCCATCACCACATCAAACGATTTCGTCTACAATCATCATCACTCTGAGCAAGCGGATATGATTGGGGAGAGATTCTTCACTTCCAGCGGCAGTAGTTTCTCAGGCATGACCAAATCTGCTACCGAAGCAGAAGAAGTAGTAGAAGAGGAAGGAGACTACACAGATGCGACTCTGAAATTCATAAGCCAGATGCTAATGGACGAGGCAGAGGACCTGGAGAAGCAGGGCTGCATGTTCACCGACTGCACGGCTCTCCAAGCCCATGAGAAGCACTTCTCCGACGCCCTCCACGGCAGCGACGGCGACCCTTCGCCTCCAAACGGGAAACGGACCCACCAGCACTCATCGCCGTCTGCCGTCGAAACAACCTACGAGAGGAGCAACAAGCTGCAGTTGGCTGAAGAATCCCATGAGCCGCCGTTGGACGATGATACATACTACGACGCCATTGTCTACCCCTCCAAGAAAACAGGGAAAAAGGCGGGAAAGAGCAACAGCCACCGCCGGGGCGGCGGCAAGAAAAAAAGAAACCCGAAAGAAGAAGTCATAGATCTCCGAGCCCTGCTTACTAAGTGTGCACAGTCCATAGGGGTTAATGACAGAGGGACGGCTAATGAGACCCTTACGAAGATAAGGCTGCACTCTTCTCCCTACGGCAATGGAAGCGAGAGGACGGCGCATTATCTCGCCATCGCCCTCGAGGCGCGCATGAATGGAACGGGAACATCGCTGTACTCGTCGTACCATTCCGACAGTATCTCGGCTTCGGATATCTTGAAAGGTTTCCACACTTATATCAACGCAATCCCGTTCAAGGTAGTCTCGTTTATGATGGCCAACAAATACATTATGAAGCTTACAGCTAGAGGAGCAACTAGGCTGCACATCATAGATTTCGGTATTCTCTATGGCTTTCAATGGCCATGGCTCATCGAAGGTCTCTCGGCCAGAGCCGGAGGTCCACCGAGGCTTCGCATTACCGGGATAGACTTTCCCCAGCCGGGATTTCGACCCGAAGAGCGGGTCAAGGCCACGGGCCTTCGGCTGGGTAAATACTGCGAGAGACTAAATGTCCCGTTTGAGTTCAAAGCCATAGCGAAGTCATGGGAGAGTATAACACTCGAAGAGCTTGAGCTCGAGCGGGACGATGACCATGACGATGAAGTGCTCGTTGTCAACTGTATGGACAGGCTAGGGAATGTGGCAGACGAGACATTGGTGATGGATTGCCCAAGGGACAATGTACTCAATCTCATCAAGAACATCAATCCACATGTGTTCATCCACGCGGTTGTGAATGGAACCTACCACACCCCGTTCTTTGAAGTGCGATTCCGGGAGGCACTCTTTCACTTCTCCTCGTTGTTTGACATGTTCGATGCGACTGTGCCTAGGGAAGACAAAGACAGAAAGCTCTTTGAGGAAGTAATGTTAGGGAGAGATATGCTCAATGTGATCTCTTGTGAAGGAACAGAGAGAGTGGAGAGGCCGGAGACGTACAAGCAATGGCAAGTCAGAAGCTTTAGGGCCGGGTTCCAGCAACTCCCACTCGATCAAGAGATCGTCAAGTTTCTGAAAGAGAAAGTGAGATCGGATTATGACCAAAACTTTTCCATGGAAGAAGAAGGGAAGTGGTTGTTGCAAGCATGGAAAGGAAAGGTAAACCACGCTGTCTCCTATTGGAAGCCTAACAACAACTAATCAATAGTCGGCTTAGCCCAATTGTATTTGTGAAATTTATTTTATTATATATACATGTACCAGCGCTCCTTAGAGCTTAGGTTATTTTTTTCCGGCTGTATCTCTTTCTTTTGCTTCCGCCGTAGCCCATCATGACGGAATCCGCTGCCTCCTCCTCTGTCACGGCGACCGGATTCTCCATGGAACATACCACCATCGTCCCGGTCTCTTCTTCTGCTGCTACATCATACTCTCTCTCTCTGCATTAACGCAGTTCCCCATCATCACCAGCACCGCATCCTTTATTGCGCCGCAACAGGTGTTCTCTTCCCGGATTCAAGGTGCGTCGTCCTTTACGTGAACATCACCAAGCACCTACAGTCTTTTCAATACCCTCCCTCCTCAATTTCCATGGCAGGCAACCTCGTTCCAGCAACCTATGGTGCAAGGACAGTCCTCCAGCCTTAGCATGCTTCCATGGCAGAGTGCTCCACGTCAGCTGTCTCCGGCGCCAGTGCAGCCAACCAACTCATCTTCAACTTGCCGATATTTTTACAAAAAGTCTTTCTAATCAGCAATTTATTTTTCTTAAACTTGCTCGTTGTATCTCCCACAGACCTGCATAGCTTGAGGGGTATAATAGTGGACTTAGCGCAATTGTATTTGTCACATTTATTTTATTATGTATACATTTACCAAGGCTCCTTAGAGGGCAACCTACTCCTTAGTGGAGTTATCATCAAATATATTAGCAATTCATTCAAGTGAGTAATATGATCCTTCCTTAATCATATTGAAAACTGAAAAATAAAAACTATAAGATGATACTCCCTCCGTCCCTTAAAACATTGTCATCTTTCTTTTTTGGGACGTCCCAAAAAACTTTGGCACTTTCCATTTTAATCAATTATTTTGTGGTTTCTGTTATTTCTCTCTTCTCTGCACAAACCTCAACCATACAGTTTTTACTTTATTATTCTTCGTGCCGGTCAACTTTGGCAAAGTTTTAAGGGACGAAGGTAGTAAGTTAAAAAGAAGCTACTCCGTATTATACTTAAATTATCTAAAAATATACAATACTAATTCACAATTTATCACATAAGTCATAATTTCAAAATGAAAAAAAATGAAATTTCATTGCGGAGCATATTAAAAAGTACTAGGGCATATAGTTTGCATCTTATGTTTATTTTGAATTGACTTTACCCTCTAATTTTTAACTTTTTCGACTTCACAAACTTCAATTCGCATTCATAATTAGATTAAGTATCTTGCCTACTTTACATTTAATTTAATTATGGGGCTTTTCTGTGCGAAACTAAAGGACCTGAATAATAAATTGAATTTTTTAAGTTTAAATTAAACATGAGTAAATTTATATCTTCTCTTAATAAAAATGTACATTGGTACATAACAAGATACGTAGTATATCATGATTAACTACAGTGCTCGATCAACATGGTTGATACTTTATACCATTCGGGCTGGATACATGATTGGAAGTGGAAAGCTGAGAAAAACAAAACAAAAATAATTAGATATTATTAATTCTACCTAATGACAAATCCCAAAAAAATTATTATATCCTAATGACAGTTGTACATCAGTATATGCCACTGCACTTTAATTTAGTGCGTGATTGCGTTTGTTGCTCGATTTTATTAAGTTTCTATCGATATTATTAATTCTATCCTATTTAGAATTTTAACCGTGGGTTATACGAAATGCAATTCCTATTTAATGATCTTTTCAAATTTTATTTATAGTTCCAAAAGGGGGAATCTCCCACCACATGAGCCCCACACCCTGATCCGACATGATTTTTAGGAGCATGTAAATCACGGTTATTTAGTCGACCCAATGATGGTAGACCGGTCTTTTACCTGTGCGCGTCAGAGGTCCAGCCCAGCACGCAGTAGCTGTAATCTTTACACGGTCGCTGCAGGTTTCGAACCTTGGTCATTGTTCCAAATTTTCAACCATTGAATCAACTGAGCTACCCGTGCGGGTTTCAAATTTTATATATAAACATCACCTTAGAGTTATATATAAGTTCATGCATGTTGATCGAAGACAGTGAAAAACACCACTAATTTATTTGTGAGCATTAGAATAACAACCAAGGACATTTGATTATGGACCATTTCACCAAGTAAGAAAACTCCAACGTACCCAAATGGGTACATGAGTACATGACTTTTGAGATCCCGTGTCGCAAGAAAAGGTATTTAATTCATGGGTAGGGGTAGACTGGTCACCACGGATGGAGCTAGAATACTTGTGTCGGTATAAAGAATATTTTTGAAAATAAATTACACGAAATTTTTTACAATAAAATTTAGACATTTTTAAAATTTTGGATAGGTCGGGGCTAGGGTTGGCCCCCTCTTGCTACTCCCCTACCGGATCACCACCAGCCCGACGGTGCAGGTCTTCACGTCGGGTCGGAGACTGGTTTTTCGGTCTCGCATCGAGACCACACCCGACAACGTCGGTTCATGTTATTTGGTGCAGCTTATGGAAATGTTGGGACAGGAATCGGGCGATCTGGTCTCGATCCGGTGCCAATGGTTAGTTTGAACTTTTTTCTTTATTCCTATTCGTTGCTAGCGCCAATAGCTATTATGACCGTTGCGTTTGGGGGCAGGGACAGAGCCACCTATAGGGTTGTGGTGTGTCAATTGACACCACTGAAATTTTTGTTTTTCATATATAGGATTATAGGTATATATAATTTTTTTTTAATTTAAAATTGACCCCACTAAAAAAATAAGAAAAAATGGCACAAATATTACGTCCCATCTTTTATTAGACATAAATATGACTCAATTTTGTTTTGACCAAAAAGTGACCAACTTCCGTTTCTTCCCTCCTCCTTTCAATTCTGCGCACGAATCGCAGGGAGAGCAAGAGATCGACACAACTCATCGACGCAGCGCCCATATCTCCTCTAGACGAATCCAGATTTCTCCGTAGATTGCGACGAGCCCGAAACACCGCATAAAAGAGATTCGCAGATGCAAGATTTCAAACGGAGGAGAGCCCAACACTCAATGGAGGACCTCCACCAAGCCGTCAAAAACCTTTCTACAGAGCTCTACTCCAAAGATGTCCACTTTCTCATGGAGCTCGTACAGTGCCACTCGATCTGTTTATATCAACAACGAAAGAGGATTTCCCCGCAAGAACATTGACTCCATTAGCGGCGACAACTTTAATTTTAAGATTTGGGGGCTGGTGGTTGGGGCTGAGGGCGGGTGCTAGTGGCGGTGATGACCGGCAGTGAGCGGGTCATTGTGCCGGTGGCAGGGGGTAGGGGGGGAAGAGGCAGTAGGCGGTTTGGCAATGTCTGTGGTATGGCGGTGCGGGCCGGCGGGGTGTCGCTTTGCGGTGTCACTGTGGCAGTGTTACTGTAACAGTGGCGGTGTAATTGGCATGAAAAAATGTGTCGATGACCACCCTCGGTGACATGAAAAAAACGAACATAGTGACATAATTTTTTGGAGTGACATCATGTTTTCAAATTCCGAATATATGACCTTATTAATCACTTTTTTGTCAATTTTTAAAAGTACTCTCATTTTTTGAAATTCAGTTCAATTTAGTAATATTAAGGGGAAAACCCCTTTAAAAAATAATCTACATATAGGCCGATATATGTAATCGTTCAAAAATGTAAAATTAACACCATCATTTAAAAAATAGAAATTGCTCAATATACAATCAAAACATACACAAAGTTGAAAATAGGATTAAATATGTTTTCTTCCCCAAATAAGACTTATTTAGTCAAGAATATTTTGATTAAAACTTCTCAAAATAGGGCTTATTGAGTCCCATGTTGGGAGTAAAACATCCGTAGTACTACTTATGAGTTTTATCCAAACTATAGTCCTATTTAGAGAATTTTCTCAAAAATAATGGAGGTCTTACTCCAACAGTCCTACTCCAAACCGCTGCAAAAAGGAACAACAGAATCACAGCAGAACAGATTGTACAATCGAATGGAAGATGCTTTAATTTGATGAATAATTGCCTCAATTACTTTTATTGAAAAAGATATATTAAAGTGTTAACAATAAAAAGTTACGCAACATTTTCAACACATGAAAGTGAGCCGTATGTAGTTGTGAATTAGCTACAGAGATCTGGTCCGTTCGAACCGACGGAAATCGCCGTCCAGCCAAGCCCGTGTGAGAGACTTCTGATTCAAATTATTTGATAAAATTTTGGAATCCGTATACTGTACAGCCGGCTGTACAGTGATCACTGTACAGCCAGTGGCAAATTTGTAATTTTTGTGAAAATCGTGGATTCTCTTAAATGAGCATTTATGCAATTTTGATGAGCATAAAGCGTGTTCTTTTGAGTATTAGGAGCCTAACGATGAGCATCAGTAATCTTTGCTTCATACCTTATATATCACTTTCTGTTTATTATTTTTTCGTTTATTAGAACGTTTTAAGTTATGTCTATAATCAATTTCAATTAATTTCAATATGTGAATTTAATGTAGTATGATATGTTTGAAATGTGCAACATTTTAAAATGACCATTACGCGGTACAAAATGAGCATACATAACTTACAAAACGAGCATCAAAGAAATCAAAAATGCATTTGTGTGTGCTCATTCATTTTGGACGTTATACTCATTTGAATTTAACATAAAACTCATTTCTAATGTAGTATGATATGTCTGAAATGTGCAACCTTTTAAAACGAGAATAAAGCGATTCCAAATGAGCATACCTAACTTACAAAATGAGTATCAAAAAATTCAAAAGCTCATTTGTGTATGCTCATTCATTTTCGTTTTTATACTCATTTGACTATGAAGACATTTTAATTGAATATCAAACTTCTTCTTATGAGTATTAAATGCAAACTTGAATGAGTAGAGCTTCTAATTTATAGAAGTGGAGATAAATTAGATCAAGATTCAATTATTTGGAGATATAATTTCATAAAAGTGGAAAGTTTGATGGTGACCTTCATGATTGTGTTTTAACTGTTTGAGATTTTCTTTTACGTGAGAGGCTTAGAAAGAACGGGAAGAAGAAGCGACAATCCCAGTGAATAAAGATTTGTGAAATTGTAGAAGTAGTAAGCAACTGGGAAGCATATTAGATGGCCGGAACCTGGAAGAGAGAGGATGTAGCGACGGACTTGGCTGTCGTTCTTCGTTGGTGAGTTGCAGCGATCTAGATTTAATTTTAAAAATGAACGGTTGTACGGTACTCATCGTACAGCCGGGTATATGATGGAATTTACAAAATTTTGTGAGCATATTCTTTATGAAGTATAGAACATGACACTTTATATAAAACATCAAGCCCGAAGTTAGTTAAATAAATTATTGAAAAACATGACACTTTATATATATATATACACACACACACACACACACACACACACACACACACACACATATATATATATATATATATATATATATATATATATATATATATATATATATATATATATATATACATACAACGCTGTGTTTTTCAATAATTTATTTGACTGACTTACTGAATGATTTTTTGATAAACTTTTGTAGCGATGTTCTACACTTCATGAAGAACATGTTCAAAGAACTTCCATAAAAAAATTCGACCCGAAAAGCCCTTAAACGGGCTTCGCCGGACAGAGAACCCCATCAGTCCAGATTCATGACCAGATTATTTCTATAGCTTTATATATATAAACATTATTATTTAATATTATTTTTCTCAATTGACACTACTGACATTAAATTCTAGCCA